CGGGGCAATGTGGTCCTGGAGCCAAGGGCGTTATCATGATGTCAGGAGCTTTCTAGTCACTGGGTGGGCTGACTGTCACGGAAGGAAGGCCTGGGCAAGCCGGGAGTTCTGAGGTGCTGCAAATAATCATGGGGACTCAGGGGACAGTGTAGAGCAGGGTGGGGCACAATGTCTGTATTAGTTAGGGCTGTCCAGAGAAACAGAATAGGAGAGACTGGACATGGAGATGGAGGGAGCGATGGGGATGGAGGTGAGGATGAGGATGGGGATGGAGGTGGGGGTGGGGAGGGAGATGGGGGTGGAGATGGGGATGGAGATGGGGAGGGAGATGGGGTGGAGATGGGGAGGGGGATGGAAATGGGGGTTGAGGTGGGGGGTGGAGATGGGGATAGAGATGAGGGTGGAGGTGAGGATAAGGATGAGGGTGGGGATGGAGGTGGGGGTGGAGATGGGGAGGGAGATAGGGGTGAAGATGGGGCTGGACATGGGGATGAGGTGGAGGTGGGGGTGGGGGAGGGGAAGGAGAGAGAGATGTTAAGGGATTTATTATGAAGGGGTTGGCTCATAGTTATGGAAACTAAGAGGTCTCCACAAGTGCAAGCTGGGGACCCAGGAAAACCAGTGGTGTGAATTCCATTCCAAGGGCAGGAGAAGATATCTCAGCTCAACAGAGAATTCTCCCTTCTTCCACCTTTTTGTTCTATTCAGGCCCTGATGGATTGGCTAATGCCCGCTCACACGGGGAGGACTCCCTGCCTTACTCAGCCCATGGATTTCTACACTAGCCCCTTCTAGAAACACCCTCACAGACACACTGAGGAATAACATCTAACCAGCCATGTGGGCACCCTGTGACCTGGTCAAATGTCCACATACAATCTGCCATCACAGCTTCTAAGGGCCCTCCCATGGCCACCCCAGCCTGCGTCCCTGTCCCCACAGATGCTGTGAGCCCAGCCCTCTGCTCACGTCTCCAGCTTCATGCTGACACGCCTCCCCGTGTGCGTCCCCAGAGCCCTGGGATCCTTGGGCGCCACATCCTCTCCCTGCCCGGACTAGGCACGGTCCCTCTGCCTCTGTCCTACACGTCCTTCGCTTTTCACCGTAAGCATCACCTCTTCTAGGGAGCCGCCCGGATAGGGTGAGAGATTACCCTGTCCCCTATCAGACCGAACACTCTCAGGGACAAATAACTACCAACTGAGAGATGTGCATGAAGGAAAAGCAGAGGGGGGAAGCACCACGGGGAGTACTAGGCTGGGTGGGGGGCCGGCCGGCTATGTCACAGCATCTGGGGGCTAACACGGCATCTAGCAAAAAGCAACCCTGTATTTTTTTTTTTTTAAGATTTTATTTATTTATTTGACAGAGAGAGAGACAGCGAGAGAGGGAACACAAGCAGGGGGAGTGGGAGGGGGAGAAGCAGGCTTCCCGCCGAGCAGGGAGCCCGATGCGGGGCTCGATCCCAGGACCCCGAGATCATGACCTGAGCCGAAGGCAGTCGCTTAACCAACTGAGCCACCCAGGCGCCCCACAACCCTGTATTTTCAATTCTCCTTTGTCAAAATGTTTACGTGACCCCGAAATCATCTGATAAACAGTTTGCAAGACAAGCTCCAGGTCACCAGCAGCTTTCCGAGGGCCGAAACCACTGGGCAAGCCTGGCCTCCCTCCCCGACAAGGGCCGGCTGCTGGCCACAGGCGGCCTCTCCAGACTCGGGGAGCCCCTCCAGGGCCTTCTCTGCCTGCGTTGCATCATGCGCTGAGCCCTCGGTGCCAGCAGGGAGGGGGAGCCAGGAGGAGGAGGAGGAGGAGGCCATGGAGGGAGGGAGGGAGGAGAGCTCTGTTCCTCATTCCCCAGGGAGGCCAGAATGCTGATGTATGCAGTCAACCCAAATCTCCTCTCGGAAAGGAACAATGAAAAAAAGGAAAGGTCTGACCTGTTTCCCAGCCTTTTGCACATTCTGTCTTGGGGTCTACAAGACATTTGGGAAGTGGCTCCACGGTGTAAGCCTCTGCAGGACCACCACTCATTTCTGCTCCTGTGAGCACAGGGCTGTGGCCACAAGGCCCCGGCCACACTGAGTGCATCCTGGGGGCGGTGTGACCCTCTCACCCTTGGCCTTCTGTCTGGTTTGCAACCAACAACTTCCACTGGGGTCTCTCTGCTCACTGTCCTGTCTCATTTTACCTTTTCTTACTGCTATCCAGGAGGGGTGGGGAAGTGAGAGTTGATGGCTTTGCTCAAGTTAGAATGATCTGGAAGGGTGGGCAGGTGGCCTGACGCCCAGGGGGCTGCAGGGTCTTAGCCAGAGACCAAGATCCACACCCCCAACCTGCCCGTGTAGACTCCATAAATAACGCCCGCATCAGGGTTGTTTTTCAGATGGATATACATGCTGTTGTGAATAATCAGATACAAATTGATTTTTAAACCACTACCGAATTCAAAGTAGCTTTTTGTCATTGTGAATTTTCTCAACCAACAAATCCTAAAAATAAAAACACCAGCACGTGAAAAGATCCTCAAAGCGTTTGACATTAAAATGCAGTTCACAGACTTGGAAAGATGGGGAGCCTCGATTCCATGGCAGAGCCATCCTTTTTGCCGGAGAAAATACAGTTTGGGGAGGTGAAGAGCCTTAGCCACCATCACCCAGCCCACGCGGGTGACAGAGCCTGAAGCGACCCAGGATCTGACCCCAGACCAGCGCAAGTGCTTTAATTCCTTGGAGTCTCCAGTCCTCTATAGAGTAGAAGCGTGGAGTGGATTTAGTAACAAGATCTGGGCGCAGGGGTTGACACTGTGCCCAACACCTAGTAGGCGCTCGGAAAGTGATGAAGGACACCACCCCGTTAGTTGCTGCTTCTATAGCCTGTGGCCCCGGGGGCGTGCCTTAGCATCCCGACTGCACTGATCTGTGAATCACCTGGCCATGCACACACGCCGTGAGCAGTGTGATCCGATAGCACAGTCCCCTTCACTGCTACTCCGTCCGTCTGCAAGTGGGAGGCGAGAAACAAGCATCCTGCAGCACGGAGCCCTTGCCCTGAGCTCCCATAGCAACCGTATTTTCCTGCCATGGGTCGGCTCTTTCTCAACGGCTTCTGCCTGGGTGCGGGTCTGTGCCCCCATCAAAGAGCAAGCACAGTGTGATTGAGGAATCAGGTGAATAGGGGCACCTGGGGGGCTCAGCCGTTTAAGCATCTGACTCTTGATTTCGCCTCAGGTCATGATCTCAAGGTCGTTGAGATTGAGCCCCGCGTCGGGCTCCCTGCTGGGCATGGAATCTGCTTAAGATTCTCTCTCTTTCTCCTTCTGCCCCTCTACCCACCATCCTCTCTACAAAAAAGAGAAAAGACAGATGAAAGAAAGAAAGAAAGAAAGAAAGAAAGAAAGAAAGAAAGAAAGAAAGAAAGGAAGGAAGGAAGGAAGGAAGGAAGGAAGAAAAAGAAAGAAAAGAAGAAAAAGAAAGAAAGAAAGAAAAAGAAAGAAAGAAAAGAAGAAAAAGAAGAAAGAAAGAAGAAGAAAGAAGAAAGAAAGAAAGAAAGAAAGAAAGAAAGAAAGAAAGAAAGAAAGAAAGAAAGAAAGAAAGAAAGAACGAACGAACGAACCAGGTGAACAGTTCACTGGTTAGCACAATGAATTACTGCTTCCCAGAGTAATTGACCAGTGGTCCAGTGGCTTCCAGAGGCTGGAAGGACAGATGGACCGAGTGGGTGGATGGAAGGATGGACGGATGAATGGACCCTTTGCTCGGGATACTCTCTGACATGGCAACAAGGAAAGCACTGAGCCAGACGGTGAAGAAGCCAGGCACCATACTTCATGCAGACTCCAGAGGGCATTTCCGAGAGTTTAACACCGCCACGCAGCCGCCCAGGATTCCAGCATCTCTGGCCACCCCCACGGGCCAGCGCTGCCTTGAGGAGGAGGATTGGGGTCTGAACGGGGAACAGAGACTGTGACCCCTCAGCGCAATGGAGCAAGCCACCTCTGCCCTGAGCCGTAGAAACACACACCCAGGGACCAGGCCCGCTGGGTGGCGAGAGGAAGGAGAGGCTGCAGTGCGGGCTGAATCGGTGCCGCGGGCACCGGTCGGAGGAGGGTTTTTTCTGAGAAGGGCGCCAGGCGCTGGCGCTGGCCGAGGGTCGGGGCCGGCCTCTCCCCGCACCAGCCCTGGGCCAAGGGCGGCCATGTGGGGCTGCAGAGCAGGGCCCACACTGCTGCTCCGTCTCGGGGAGGGGGCGGGTGGCTGCCGGGAGCTCCTGCAGCCTGCATCTATTTATAGCCCGCGCCGCTGGTTTTATTTACTTGGTTTTTTTGGCTCCTGCATCCCAAGATCCCGTGTGCTTTGGTCTGCCGGAAGGAACACGGCTGCCTGGCCTTGGATGCTGCCACTGCCGAGGACCCCACCTCAGTGGAGACAACAGAAAGCCATCCATGCACACACACACACACACACTCATACACGCCGAAGCATGCACACGCGTGCACGCACACACAGCCACACACACACTGAAGCACAAGCACACTATGCAGACACTCACACATGCACTCACATGTGCACATGACACAAGGTGACCACTCATGGGTCAAGGCCCTGTTCTTCCCCGCCCTGCTTCAGGCCCCCCTGACTCCCAGCCCCCCGGCACGCCACCCCCCTCTACTGACCCGCACCCCCTGTTTTACACAGAAACTTGTCTCTAAAATGCCTGCGCTGACATCCGATTTTGAAAATCAAATCCCTTTCCTTCTGCAAAAGAAACCCTGAGCAGGGCGCCTGGGTGGCTCAGTTGGTTAAGCGACTGCCTTCAGCTCAGGTCATGATCCTGGAGTCCCTGGATCGAGTTCCGCATCGGGCTCCCTGCTCGGCGGGGAGTCTGCTTCTCCCTCTGACCCTCCGCCCTCTCATGTGCTCTCTCTCATTCTCTCTCTCTCAAATAAATAAATAAAATCTTAAAAAAAAAAAAAAAAAAACCCTGAGCAGATTCTAGAGTAAAGTTAAAAAGTCTTTTTGTAACCAAAGACCCGGGCAGGCCTCTCATTCGGCGGGGTGCCGGTGGAGGGCAGGGTGGCAGCATCCCCCGGCCAGGCCACGGGAGAAGTCTCAGGGCGATGGAGGGTAGTTCTGACCGTCTGAGCTGCAGGACACATAGAGGACAAGCGGTCCCCTGAGAAGTCCTTGGAGCAGGTCAGGAAGGGCAGAGGCCCCATGTCCTCCAGGCTGTTCACTATTATCATTAAAAACCAGTGTTGCCCTACTAAAGCCAGAACTACAGCTCTGGTAGGCCTGGGTTCAAATTCCACTCCGCCACTTAGCTGTGTGACTTCAGGCAAGTTACTTAACCTCTCTGTGCCCCGTTGTCTTCAGTCTATGGACTGACCCTAATGTCAATACTGCCTCCTTGGGTTACCATAAAGGGTGAGTGGGAGAGCCCACATTCAGCGATCGGCGTGCTGCCCGACACAGTAAGGGGTCAATGATGAAGATATTACCATTTTTATTTACAGCTTGCTAAATAGTGAACAGTAGGACTCTACCCACAGCAAACAGTAACTGGTAGGTGACTTGAGTCGATGCTGACTGCCAGCCCCACCCACTAAGCAGCGATTCAGCCTGCCACCAAGCAGGGCTGACACGAGGCCTCTGCTCTGGCCGGTCCACCCCCCAGCTTCTCCCTCCAAATCCTCAGGTGCCGTTGCACCCATGCTGGGCTGGGTGCGATCCCTCCCCACCTCCACCCACGGGTCCCCACCTTCAGACATGCATTCCTCAGGACACGCACTAAAGTCGAAGGGACAAGTTTCCTTCTGGGGCTGCCCACATCCCCCTGGAAAGGACTCCCCCTCCCTGGGAAGAAGGGTTACACTTGCCAGCCCTCTAGGTCCCCTGTCTCCGTTCACTGATGAGCTCAGAGAGGGTAAGCAACTTGCCCTAAGGCACACAGCAAGGCAGTGGCAGAAGATTCTCGGGGTTCTGAGTGCCAGCCTTGGGTCTTCTCCACCACGCTAGTTTGACCAGAGGGTAAAATGGGCCATCAATCAATCTGAAAGGCCCCTCCCTCCCTCCCGAGGCCTCCTGAGAGATGCTCACGCGCTTCCTGTTGTCTTCACACTGTGGTCGCTGGCCCATCTCCTCTCCACCTCGCGACTCTGCCAGAGGAGACATGAGCCCAAGTCAGGGAGGGGGGCAGACGTCAGACAGGGTGCCGGGACAGACGCCGACCTCGCTGAGCCGCTGTGGCCCTCAGCGTGGAGGTCAGGCAGCACCAGCCCAGAGCTGGGTCCCTGGGGCAAGCGGCTTCTCCCCGCCAGCGCTGGGCGGCCTGGACCTGCCCTCACTCCCAGAGGCCTCTCAAGGGTCTGGGCAAATAGCTCCCTCCCACATGCCTGTCCTTGGCCCCCTCTCTGGTTCCAGGCCCAGCAGGGAGAGCTCAGAGGATGCAGGGCATGGGGCTGGAGGTCACAGGAGCACAAGGTCGCAGGGACAGGCACATGGGAAGCACCTTGGGTACCTGGTCCAGGCCCCTCCTTTCTTCTGTTTGGACCAGTGGGGAAACAGAAGGTGCATTAGCCAGACACACCTTCAGGGACTTGATCTCACCTGAGCCCACAGCGTCGGCGGGCTGTCTGCTGAGTGTGCGTCCTGCCGTAGCACTCTGCCCTCAGGGAACGGGGCCTTGGAGGCAGGTGTCAGCCACCTTCACGGGCTCCCCGCCCTCCTTCCTCAAGGACAAGGTCGGCCTACGGCACCTGGGCAGGGACGTCCAGGAGAACACTAGAGAGCATGACAGACAGGTGGGTGGAGCCCCTTCTTGCCAGCCGAGGGGGTCAGGGAAAGGAAGGCTCAGGTTTGCGCGGAGTCAGGGCTGCCTGGAAGAGGAGGACTGTGAGTCAGGTTTGGAAGGAGAGGTACCAGGACTAACCTCACTCCTGGCCTTAGAGCATCTGCACCTGCTTCTTTCTGCGCGCTCGCCCAGCAGGGCAGCCAGCCGCCGGGGGGCCTCCAGGAGAGGGTGTGAGGAACCAGGACACCGAGGCGTCCGGTGCAAACCAGGCTGGCCGAGGGGTGATTTCTACACTGGATCTGAGTGTCACGGGCGAGATGAGAGGGGCGCTCTTTTCCTCTGACTCATTGTCACTGTTCCACGGTGGCCTTCTCACGGCCTTGAGCAGTTTGAGACTCCAGGCGCTGGGGCCACCTCAGAAACTGCAAGTGGGACGGACAGAAAATTGGGGAGGGGCGGCCAGGCCTGGGCACCCCCTCCCCGTCGGCCCTTGCCGGACCTGTGGGTTCCCCCATAGATCTCTGGGTCCCGGGGGCTGTCCACAGCACCTGCAGCCTCTTCGCACACATACATCACACACACTCAGGCGCACACACGCACACGCGCGCACACGCACACGTCCTGGGCTCGCCAGGCCGCCAGCACAGGGCCTTGGCCGAGGGGAAAGGAGAGGGCAGACGCCCTGTCTGGGATTGTCTCAGCCAGGAGCCTGCCTCAGGGCAGCAAAACACGTCCCAGGCGCTGGGTGGACCTCATTCCAGTCTGGAAAGTAAAGGAAGGGACTCTGAGGAGGGCCAGAGCCCACGGAGCCCACCCAGCTCGCCACAGCCCACAGCCTGCTGTCCCAGCCAGGGAGCTCCGCAGGCCCGGCCCGGCTGCCAGGGGAGGCCGCGTTCCGTGGGCAGGGCCTCGGGGAGACCCGGACCCTCTGGCCCAGCAGCACCTCTCTCTCGGGCGGTTAACTTCTCGAAGCTGTCGACAGATCATTAGGTAAGCGTGTGGACCGTGTTCACACTTAAAGCCGACTGGCCAACCTGGGAATCCCCTTGCCCCTCCTTGATTCTCCTGCCTGCAGGTCTGTGGCGGGAGGAGGTGCCGGCCGGCCCTGGAAGGCTTCCCTGAGAAAGAGCGGGGCACAGCCGGCTGTCTACGCGAGCCCCGTGAGGAGGAGAACGCCAACAATGGCCCGGACCCTGAGCCCAGAGTTGCTCCGGCCTCCGTGGGAGCACGGAGATCCTCACCGCCTTGTACCCCCCGCCCCGGGCCTGCCTACGCACGTCTGTGAGCCCGGCCCTTACAACGGAGCCCACTGCCTTCCTTCAAGATCATAGTAATGGATAAACATCATATTTAAATTGTGGTCCATCCAGACAATGGAATATTATTCAGTGCTATAAAGAAACGAGCTATCGGGGAAAAAAAAAAGAAATGAGCTACCAAGCCAAGAAAAGCCACGGAGGAACCTTAAACGCACATAACTAAGGGAAGAAGTCAGTCTGAAAAAGCTGTATGATTCCAGTTGTACAATGTTCTGGAAAAGGCAGAGCTGCGGAGACAGCGACGAGATCAGCGGCTGCTGGGGGCTGGGGGGAAGGGAGGCATGGGAGGCACAGAGGGTTTTTAGGGCAGTGAAACTACTCTCTATGACACCATGGTGGCAAACGCATGTCATACATTTGTCCGAGCCCATGAATGCACAGCACCAAGATAACCCTAATGTAAACTGTGGACTCTTGACTAATAATAATGTATCAACACTGGTTCAATTATAACAAATGTGCCACCCTCATGTAAGAGGTTGATAATAGGAGAAACCCTGTGTGTGCGTGCGGGGGAAATGGAGGGTATGCGGGAACTCTGTATTTTCTGCTCAATCTTTCTAAAACTGCTCTAAAAAATAAAGTCTATTAATTTTTAAAAAATGACAAATTACAAGCAGCACACATTTTGTTAGGTGCCCGTATTAACTCTGCGCTGTTCTGTATTCCCGGTGCGCTGGCGTCCGGGGTCCCTCCAGGGCTGGCGGCCTCCCAGAGAGAGCAGACCACTCTGCTCCCAGGGAGCCCATCTTTTGTATACAGACCGACCCAGAGCCTGCACCCCAACCATCCTCTTTGCACTCGGGGCCAATATTCCCCCGTCCTAATCACCCCAGGGCCAGGGACCAGACAACAACCTGCTCCGGGTCACACGCCGGAGGCCACTGACATGACTCCAACTCGCCAATCCCAAGCCCATTCTTTCCCGTGAAAACCACAGCACAACTTGTGGATCCTGCCTTCCCCTCTGTCCCTCTGCCCCGTGACCGTGACCGACCCTGGTGCTTCCCCGGTGGCCCTGCAGGGCAGGGCATGCCCCCTCCTCTTGGGATCTGTGAGTCACAGTCTTTCCAATGGCAGTTGACCCCTGGTCTGTTGGCCCACCATACTTGAATAACAATAAAACCTACATTTGAAAACAGTGGTGACCTGGGAGCCAGCACAGCCTGCGGCCCTGAACAATGTACCCACCCAGGACTCCAGTTGGGAAGGTGACCTTGGCTTCATTTCCAAGGCAGCACCAATAAACTCTAAACAGAAGGGAACATCTACCTGCCGAGTGGTATGAGATCCACGGTCTCTGGGGCTCCTGAGATTGGGAGCAGGGATGGAAACCAGCCCCTTCTTTCCCAGGTGAGTAAACTGAGGCCCAGAGAAGGAAGGGTTCAGCCCAGGTCTCTGGGCTAGCTGGTGGTCCACCTTGCACTTGGCTTGTGTGGGAAGCCACAGACGCAGAGCGTGGTTGCGCGTCCCCGGGCCCCACCATCCAGCTGGGTGCCAACACAGCTGCCCGTTCCGTTCAAGCTCCTGGAGGTCCAGGGATCCCATTCTCCTTCCTGCTCTCCGCGTTCTGTCCCCGCACCCAGGGGCATGCAGCTAGCGTCCTAGCACAGACACGTAGGAGAACCTTCTATGCACACAGGCAGCTTCCTCTTCCTCACCCCGCTGAAGTTAGCAGAGGGGCCTTGGAAAGTGGCTGCCTGTTAGGGGAAACTGGTGGTCGTGAGCGGCCCAACAATGGATATAGGGACACCTCCAAAACCTAAACGAGGCTGGCCAGAGGGCTGTCACATCAAGTAGTATGGGGTGTCAGGTGGTGGCCTGCAGAGAGGGGGTCTGGGGCCCCGATGGGGTGTGTGAGGGTTGAGAGGTGGGAGGGCCCTCCTGAAGGGTAGTTGGTTAAGTTGCTCCTGGGGAAATTTCCAAGGAACACCCAGACCAGCAGCAGGAAAAATAAATTACCACGTAAATAAACAGCAAGGCTGGCAGGATCTTTTCGAGAGAAAGGAACTGGGGGAGGCGCCCAGTGATGGAAGGGGTAATGAATTCCCTGTCATTCCAAAGACTGCTGCTCCCTGGGGCGCTCTAGGCCCACACAGGACATTCAGCACCTCATGTCAAAGTCGCTGGTGCTGGGCTTGGGAGGGGCCGGCTTTCCCCCACTCCCTGTGGACACAAGCCCAGATCCCCAGCTGAGCCCCATTATCTGTGCCCCTTTAACTCAGCCCACAGTGGGGGCAGCCAGAGAGGTCGGCGTCTGTGGGACGGGGAGCAGGGGCCCAGCTCGATGGCGTGGGGACACGCGGAGGAATGCGCACTGTCTGGAATCCAGCGTCCTAGGCAGAAGGGAAGGAGGTGGCTTAGGGCCACGGCATATGAGGAGGGACCTCCGTCTTCATGCAAGGATCATACAGCATTCTACCCCTGGCTCGAATCCCACCACCACCCTCCTCCCGAGTTGTTCTCCACTGGGGGTGGATGGTTCTGTCTTCTCAAGATCCAGACAAATGTGTCTACTTCGCAGGTGCTTCAGGATCCAAGCAAGAGCTCTGCAAAATGAGGCAGCGTGAGATGTCACGGTGGCACCTAAAATACAGATCCCCAGGCCGGGCCTGGGCCAGACTGCTGAGCCAGCAGGTTTGAAAGCCACAGGAGAGACAGGGGATGTTGGATGTGGGTGTGCGAAGCCAAGACAATTCCCAGCTCACTCATCCCTGCTCTTGAACTGACCGGCTATGTGAACTTCGGGGAGCCCCTTCGCTTAGCTCTGGCTCAGGCTTTCTCGTCTAGAAAGGGGAATCAATTTTTGTCTTTGCCGGCCTGTCAGGCTGGGGGCAGCTTGGGTGGAAAACAGGGAGGTGAAAACACTTTTGGAAAGCATGTAAGCCCCAGCCAAATACAAGATGCTGTTGCTATGATGTCACTTCCCCTGTGCCGTGGGGAGCACGCGACCACACCCACGGCGGCCTTGGGCCAGCCCTGCCCTCTGCAGACCCGGCTCCCAGCCTCCCCTGTCCAGGCTGCATGGCAGGGCCTCCCCAACCCTTCTTGCCGCAGTCCATCCTGGGGTCCGCCCTGCAGGTGCCGTGCATGATCAGTGATGGCAGCTAAACTTGCTCGGGTATGTCGCGTGCCTCAGTGCAATCCATTCTCTCAGCAACCCATGGTTCAGATGAAGAAACGAAGGCTCAGAAAGGCTCAGAAGGTGTCCAGAATCTGAGCAGATGAGTTTGGGAGGCTGGGTCCCAACCTTGGCATTTTCTCCGGGCTGATGTCTGTGCCAGGCTTCACAGACATTGCTCCGCACCTTCATCGTTTCTGCCGGATTTATGCCCCCCCACGCCTGTGGTAGAACAGTGAACCTGCGCACATATGTCCACGGTTGGACACACAGGCAAATGCATGTGTGTGTGCATCCATCAGACACACGCCCATGGAGGACCTAATATGTGCCAGGGCTGGAGTCAGAGCGTGGACAAAGCAGACAGCATGACCCACCTGTGTGGGGCTCACCTGCCGGGGCTTGCCAATCACTGTTTAAAGCAACACTTAATTTAAAAGAAAAGTTTATGTCACTACTACAATATGAAAATTCAGTATGATGTTCTGATCCTGTAAACATCAGTACCATTAAAAATCAAGGTCATCGGGGCGCCTGCGTGGCTCAGTCGGTTAAGCGTCTGCCTTCGGCTCAGGTCATGATCCCGGAGTCCCGGGATCGAGCCCCGCATCGGGCTCCCTGCTCCGCGGGAAGCCTGCTTCTCCCTCTCCCGCTCCCCCTGCTTGTGTTCCCTCTCTCACTGTGTCTCTCTCTGTCAAATAAATAAATAAAATCTTAAAAAAAAAAATCAAGGTCATCGAAGCCTAGCTGAGCTCTCCTACCGGCTGAAGGTTTGCATCCTGAAGCATGCTCCCATTTGATTAAAAAGAGAGATGTCCAGTCTTCAAAAATTTAACCATAGAATTACTATATAACCCAGGAATTCCACTCTTAGGTATGTGCCCAAGAGAATTAAAAATTGATTTCCAAACAATTACTGTGCCCTGTGTTCACAGCAGCTCTGTTCACGTAGCCAAAAGGTGGAAACAGCCCAATCGTCCAT